GAGAGGCGGTACAGAGAATAAGTAGCATAGATGGCAGGCAGAAAATAGACAGGGGGAGGGCAAGAATAGTATGGAAAATGTAGAAGCTAAAGAACTTATTGCACATGGACATGAACTAAATGGGGGAATGTGGGTGGAAGGGGGTGTGCAGGGTGGAGGGGAATGAAGGGAGGAAATGAGACAACTATAATAGCATAATCAATAAAATATATTTTTAAAAAGTACAGCTCGTTTGCATTTCTCTTAATATGAGCAAGTAAGAACATTTTTTCATATGAACCATCTGTATTTATTTTTTCTGTGAACTGTTTTTTTCATTTTTATCCAATTTTGTATTAAGCGATAATCTTTTCTTTATTGATTTGTTGAAGCTCTTTACATACCAGTGAAATTAGCTCTCTGCTTATGAATAAGTTGTAAATATTTCCCAGTTCATTATTTATCTTTTAATTTTGCTTTTGGTATTTTTACCATGCAGAAATTTTATATTTATATGTAATCAAAGTAATCATCCCCTCCCCCATCACTTCCTTATTCCAGGATTATTTTTTAAACCACCATAGTTTTTTCTAGTAGCTTTATAGCATCGGCTTTTTAAAACATTTGCTATTTGATTTTATTTTCTTTGGTAGAAGACATCAAACAAAAATCAAAATTAATTTTTTTAATAAAAGCCTGCCCAGTTGTCCACATAACTTTTACTGAACTAAGCTTTGGCAAGAAGAGAAGCAAGTACAGAAAACAAAAAGGCCCAATTTGAAAGAGTGAAAAAGAGTCCAAATATGCCAGTAGTCACAAGGACTAAGAACACACCTGTTTAAAGACAAGAATTATCAGATTGAATTTAGAAACACAATCCAGGCATATACTAAATGTCACTCCTATACACTACCTAAACTAAAACGATATCAAAAAATTACAAATAAAGGAATCTATAATGACATTTCATGAAAATACTTATCTAAAAAAAAAGCTGGAATGGCAGAACTAATAGCAGACAAAATAAACTTAAAGCAAAAAAGATTTCACTGCTTCTTGGCCTTTTGGCTAAGATTAAGTGTAAATCAAAGATTTCTAGGAATTAAAAAGTGACATCATATATAGACATGGTTGAAATTTTTTTCCTGAAAGGGTCTATCATTTTCCATTTCCAGAAGCAAAGCATGAGTACTAGTCCAAGCAAACATTCCACTGTAGGGCAGTATCAATCTCTTGTTTATATTTGCTGATTTGATAAGCAAGAAGAAAAAGGAATCTTCCTGTAGTTTAATTTCAAAGCCCATAGTCTCCCTAATAGAGCAGCAACCGCACAACAGAACTGATGTTTTGTGATCAGTGGGGAGCCCTCAGCCAGGGAAGCAGAAACTGCTTCTCCTCTAACGGTCCATGGGGACACTCAGCCACTGAGGCGGTGTCCAGAGAGAATAAGGAGCCCCCTCCTTCCTCAGCACTGAGCTGGCAGAAAGTCCAGCTGCTCCTGGGTCATCCCTCTTGGTCTACATCTGCTCAGTATTAATTTTCAGCAGCTTATTTCATTTCTATACAACACAGAATTTGCTTTCTCTACAATCTCAGCAAAACTGTTCAGGACCCCGAGGCAGCAAACAATAATAGCTCCCAACAAGCAGGCAGAAGGTCCAATTGCCCTTCAGTTTCACACAAAACTTTCATTAAGAATTCTTGACTGGAATCAGGTGCAGTTAGCAACTTCTAGAAAAATCTCTAATGTATTTCCCTTAAAACAGAGCAAGAAAATGGTTTCTATGAAATTCAGTAGAAAATGTCCTGCAATTGATAATAAATATCCTTTGACTTTACGAATAAATGACTCATCCATGCCAGGCACCTTGCTGGAACATTTCACAGTGTGTTTTCTGATCTAATTCTCAAAAACAATCCCTTTGGGTAGTATCACCCACCCAGTTTCACTGACAGTCTAACTGAGCACCAGAGAGTCATTTGCGACTCACCCAATTCCAACACCCAAAAAGAGGACAGTGCCTCACACCTGGACTAGTGCATCTGCAGATGAGCTCTGACACAGTCCTGTTATTCATGTCATCAGCCTGGTTGGGAGTGAAAATACTAATTTATCATTAACCTGACGGATCATTTAGCATACTCTGTGTAATAAGGACCTTAGGGAAAAAGCACACATTATGATTTATATGTGCAGAAATTTCGGATTCAATATTTCTAGTCATATTCTGGAAAATTCTAATGCATAGTTACAGCAACAGGCAATTCAGTAAAGACTGTTAATCATTTCAGATGGTGCCGGGTTCAGGTGATATTATTCCCTGACAGACTGGGCTTCTGGTTCCCGTGCTTTTGCTGAGGCAGCTGCTCTCACTTGATGCTTTAGAAAGATTTTTTGATTTATAGTTTGAAGCTGAAATTACCAAAGAGTTTTAAAAGCAGTACGAAAGCCATATGCATCTTTCTGTCATCATCTCAAAACACTTCCTTTCATTTTGCCTACATTTTTGCCTGAGTGGCTGGAATCACAAGGTCTGATAAAAAGAAGAAAAATAACAGCTTACCATAAAAAACATCACCAAACAATAAGAGATGTTCTAAAATCATGAAGTGACAACAACACAACCCAAACCCCTTTGTTTTCTCTTCTCACTTTAGGAAAAATGAGTGAAGGCAAGGCAAAGAGCACCGCCGTGTGTGTGTGTGTGTGTGTGTGTGTGTGTGTGTGTGTGTGTGTGTGCGCGCGCGTTTTGTCTGCTTCCCCGCCAGAGGCACGTCCTATTTACCAGTGCCTGTCCACATGCAGGAAAAGGAAAACAGACCTTGCTTGCCACAGGCCAGAAACCAGGTTCCTTTTATCTGTCATCGCATAACTCCTAGAAACATGTTCCTCCAGGAAGTCATCACTCACACGGATGGGTTTAGCTTTGTTTTTGTGAAGCATTCCCCCAAAAGAATCTCTAAAAAAGAACATCAGTCTCTTTTAAATTCTACAACAAGGGATTCTGTTTTTAAGCAGCAAAAATATAGTTGGCAGTTCTGAGCCAGATCACTTTCATTATTACTGGTTTTTTTCCCTGTTTTTATGGTGGTAAAATACACATAAAATTACCATCTTAACGATTGTAAGTGACATTATTCAGGTTTTTAATATAAATAAGTAGCTTTAAGATTACAAGAAATTTTCCAAAACATTTCTCCTTTCTAGGTATGTAAATGTTCCTGCTGTTTCGGGAGCAGTGAGGACTTCCTGCTTCATCCTCAGCAGAAAGGTTTGCCTACTTCAGCTCCCCGGGGGGAGGGGGGGAGGACAAGCTCAAATCAAGTGGGAACCTGCCGTATGAAAATGCAGTTCCCACAGGTGGTGTGACTTAGATAAATTACTTCCACAGATCGTTTTTCAAAGTCTTATTTTATCCTCACCTTTTACCAAATCTCTTGCAAACATATTATTGAAAAAGGCAAAGTTGCTTCGAGTTTCACATCTATTCGGTGTTTCCTTTGAAGAGCGGGGGTGGGTAGATAGGGCCAAGGTGTAAAAAACATTAAGGAGGAGCAGGAAAACGCTTAAATGAATACAAAGAATCAGTAGTTAGCTCTGTGAATAATCTAGAGTTGACATATGAGCGAATCAAGCCTGTAATTTTCAGCTGTAAAAAACAGGTCTATGAAGGTAACAAGCAGCGAAAACAAGATAAAGTTCTGAAAAACTCTCTCACTCCTTTGGGTCCTGTTCACAGATTTTACCCCCAAAATCCTATAAATTTTTCATTAAGACCCCTAATTATTAAATGCTAGTACTTTCAGTGGCAAAGCAAAATACAAATCAATAGTTAATCACATGTTAAAAGCACAGCAAATTCTTTGAAGAATTCTAAAGAAGCTCCTGCTGTTGAAATAAAGGCAGTTTTTTTTGAAAAAGAAAAAGGGAGAGGGGGAAGAGCAATGCAGAGGAAATGCCCTTTGATTAAAGATCAAGCAGTAAACTGAAGTTTAAAATTGAGCTCCATGTACACTGTTTCTCAGAAATACCCATTCTGGCATGTTCTGAATTACAGGGCACCTCTGGCTGGGAATAATAGGCCAAGATAGGCCAAGCCCAGGAAGGGCTGGGGACCAAACATAAGTCAACTACACTCAGGAGAATTTCTCTAGTATCTGCCTACAAAATACAGTTAGCTCAGCTCTGCACTAAAATTTGCCTTTAAGAACACAGTTCAAAGTTTGAATCTCTTTTCTTGCTATCTATTTAAACAAAATATTTGTAGAGATTTTTGACATCCTTTCAACATAAGTATCTCAGTTGCAACATGCATCACGCCCATTGAACTTTACAAGGTACATTTTAATCAAAGCTACACATATTTTCTGACTTTCAAGTGCCTGGAGACTTGAAATAGTTGTTACAACACCGAGAAACATGATACGCAAGCGATCTGTTATCAACTGTAAGCCTGAGTCTGATTCCTTTTTGTATTTGAGGCTGACGTACGTAGTTTCCCCTGCCTGGAAATTTTCAAACAAGTGCCAGTCGGAAATGGTGCTCTGGAGCCTATGCCAGAAGTAGGTTTCTTAGTCTTCCTGTCTGGGCTTAGCCAAAACCTTACTCAGCACTACTCAGCTGCACCTAAGTTTTTCAAAGCAATTTTAATATCTCTATCCTTGTCAAAACCTTATGTCTACAGAGCTGACACTATAAATAATGATGGGAGATGGGTTAGGTTAAAACTGGACCTGCTAGTTACAAAATAGTACAGCACAGAGAATATGGCTAATAATATTGTGATATCTATGTATGGTGCTGGGGTGGGGAGGGGACTGGAAATAGGGGGCATTGCTTTGTGAAATATATGATTGTCTAACTCCTGTGCTGTACACCTGAAACTGGAACTCATACAAAAATAATATTGAATATAAACTGTAACTGAAAAGTAACATTTAAAAATACTGAACCTTCATCCAATTCTTGGTTTGCATTGTTCACTTTATTAAATTATGAAATCAAATGACAAAATCCTCACCTTGTGATGCCCAAATTCATTCAAAATGGTTCCTAATTTTCTGGTGTTGCTGTGCAGTTTCTGGGCAGCAACAGCTGGATGGGGGTCGCGCCAGTTGATGGACAAGCGGTGATACCAAAGGTGCTGACTCTCCAGAATGTGAGCTGACTTAACGCTAGGGTCGAAACGATGCACTTCACACCCACTGTTGGCCATGCTAACCTCGAAATGGGTATCATCACTCCCCAGCCTGTAGAAAAAGAGGAGGATGGAAATCAACACAGAGACAAAAAAAAAAACAACACATGTAGTAAAGTAAAAAAAGTGTTGGGCTGACAAAAAGGACAGTTCCAAGGCCAAGTTTCTTAGTTGTAGCAAGGCTTCTATTTTAACACGTGGTTAACTAAACATATTTACAAAGATTGCACGCTAACTGCACACAAAAAGCATCATAGCTTAAAGCTTCTGGATAAAAGAAAGAAGGAAAATTATCTGCTAAACAAACACGGACCAGAGAATCACATGTTCAAACATGTAGAAGAATATTAAAAAAATTTAAAGATGTAAACCACAGTAGCAGTGAAACAAAGACCATCCAGCTGTCTTCAGAGATTTTCTCATATATGTCGAAATCGTAAACCCCAGGGCCAGTTCCCAAGGGGAGAGAGAGGTACCTTCTGCTAATGAGGTCACTTGTCTCCATTCTAATGGCCACAGTGCTGTGCATGCAGTTTGACTTATAGGCAGCAGCTGTTTTCTTAGAAACAGAGTGCATTTTAAAGCATCACTGTAAGGCAAAAACGACAAATGCTCGTGGTCCTACTGGATCTAGTACTCAAGAAGCAAAAGAGGCACCTTGTCTAAAATTCTCACCAACAGGAGAAAAGAATTTATATTTACGTACCCAGTAGATGGTACATTGTGTGGAAAATTCATATACTTACCAATTTTTAATTTGTTCAAAAATATTCCTCATTTAGTGATACATATAAGGTTCATCACTTTGATGAAAGCATCAATTTGAATGATGAAATTAACTGAGAGATTATTTTTTAATGGTGATTATGCCTTCCCTGCCCAAAATTCTATAATTAGATGTGATTTAAGCTACCAATATCCCATGGAATACCTATAAAACATCAACTGAACCTGGACCCAGCGTAAAAGTACTCCATTCTCTTAGACTTGAGTGTTTCCGATTATTTCATAATTTAGAAATATACCAGTTCTTTGTATAACAATCATTTACCTGATTATAAAGTAATCAGTAATCTAGCTATAAAGTAAGTTTTCAGTACGGAGATCCTCCCCTTAGACTTTCTTAATACTCTTATTTGCCTTGTCCTCTCCTTTCGCTCCCTTTGTGCAGCCCTCTTCTGTGAAGAAGAGAGCCACTGGATCTGCCACGCGGCAACTCTCTAATGTCCCTCATTATAAGGGACATTATAAGTCTCTCTGTCCTCTTGGCCAGGAAAAGATTCAGCACTCCTCCCACAAAACCTCCCATTCCTTTTATGCAAGAGATCCCGTGTCCTACTTTCAACCTCCTACTGAAGCCACATGATTTACAACATTGTCATCTCCACTAAGTTTCCCACAGCAGATCTCATCTGCTGTGGCAGAACGACTACCTAAGGGTAGAAGAGATGGATGTGGCACTGTTTTAGGTCCTTGGTTATTCCTTTAAAAATATTCCCAAGGTACTAAGGTGGGTGTCCTCTATGTTCCCCAGGAATTGAAAACTCAGAGCATAAATACATAAAAAGATGGTCAAGATCATTAGCCAATAGAGAGAAACAAATCGAAACCTCAGTGAGATACCACCTCCCATCCACTAGTGGCCCTAAGGCGGCTATCTTTTTTAAGGATAGAATCAAAAAGACCAATAATACCGTGTTGGCAATGATGTGGAGAAGTTGCAACACTCATACATTGCTTGCAGGAATTTGAAATGCTATATATCCAAGAGAAATGAAAACAAATGTCCACACAAAAACTTACACATGCAACATAGCAACATATTCACAAGAGCCAGAAAGTAGGAACAGCCTAAATGTCAATCAACTGATGAGTGAATAAATAAAATGCAATATATCTACACAATGGAATATGACTTGGCACTTAAATGGAATGAGGTACTAATACATGGTACAACATGGATGAACCTTACAAACATTAGGCAAAACAAAAAAGACAATCACAAAAGGCCATGTGTTTTATCCTTTCATTTTTATGAAGTATCCAGAACACGCAAATCTATAGAGACAGAAAGTAGATTAGTGGCTGCCGAGGACTGAGAGGTGGAGCGGGGAAGGGGTTGGGAAGAAATTGAGGGTGCTACCATTGGTACAGGCTTTTCTTGGGGGAGTGACAAAAATGCTGTAAAAAGTAGTACAGTGGCCAAAAAACATTGAATTGCACACTTTAAATGAGAGAATTGCAAGGTATGTGGATTATATCTCAACAAAGTTGTTAGAAAAAATAAAAAATAAAGTCAGAGCAGCTAAAAGGGAAAGCTTTTAACCCACATCATTGAGGGCAGAGGGGTTGAAAGAAGTATGAAAATTAGTATTTTTCCTTAGCAGTTTCAGTAGTCCATTCTTCATCCCAGCAGGGACCAGGGAATATGGCAAATGATTATCTATCTTGATATAGATAATTAGATTATCTATTATCTAATTATTAAAGTGATTACAATTAGATCTATAAACAGCCAACTACTAGAGGGAGGGAAATAAGTTTTCCAAGGCATAAATGACATTGAATGGTGAATAAAAATATTTTATAATTACTAAATTTTATTAAATAACGTTGCATGAAATGCCAAGATTTATTTTTTACATACATTCTCAACATGAATGCTTTTACCCCTAAGGGGGCAAAAATTGATTTATGAGGGAAAAGATCTTCCTCTTCTTACTTGTACAGCACAGATACGTATGTCACATAAACAGATTATAGTAAATCTATGGTATTAAAATTTCACGGGACTGATTAGGAAACAAATTACCTAAAAATGTCCTTGGGCCCATGATTTTCTGATTCCTCATTCATATACACTATGGGCGCCTGTGTTAATTAAACTATCACAAGATGGAAATTTTTGGCTCTAGAGTTCAGTCATTGCTCCTGACGGCAAGTTCATGGCAACTGGAAGTCCAGGATTTCCTGTGTGAAATATTGGCTCTGGTTGCCTTACTGTGTGTCATCTATCAAATCTTCTTCTGTCTGATGCTGAGAATTAATGTCCTGAAGCCAAATGGCACAACCCTCCGGAGCACTAGAGAAGAGATTAGAAATATCTGCCTGTGTGTCACCCCATCTCCAGTTTTCCTTCCCGCTCTCACTCCTACCCCTGAAACACAGTCTTTCGTATGAAGGATGAAATGGGGGGTGTTTCCCACTTCGCTGTAGGCACCTCCCTCAGCCCCCCACCCACGCCCAGCACCAACCCCCGCGGTCCACCCAGGAAGACCGGCGGGCAGACCCGCCTGGAGTTCTGCGGTAGACGGTGCCATCCTCAGAACCCACCGCCTCCTGTCTCTCTCGTCGTTCCCCTTCTGCGGAACATAACGTTCCTTTTCGGTGCCTTTCCTGTTTCGTCTACATAACGGAAATGGTCGGATTTTAATTTTCAACTGCACTTCACATATAGGTCACTTTCCCAGGGGGGAAAAGTGTCTTTTACATTAACTGTACAATAAAGAGTTTTGGCTCCTAGTCAAACATCAGAGGGAAGGTGGAGGTAACACCTGCTCCAGGTCTCGGGGGTGGAGGACGAGAAGGCAGGGATCCCACCCTCTGCTCATCCTCGGTTAGGATGGAGACGACTGGGCACAGCGGCGGTGCTGTCGCCAGGGCCCTGGGATTGGAGCACAGACGGCCCCGCCCTGACCGCCCGCCCCCTGCCCTCTCGCACAACTCTCCCAACACTCCCAGTGCTGGGACCCCGTGCCCCTCATTTCTGGAGCACCACATCTGCCCTGGGCTGCTTCTGCCTTCAGCATCAATCGAGATGCTGTCGGCCTGCGATTTACCTGCCCCTCAAGCAGGCAATTCACCTGAAAAAGCGGGGATGCTTGTCTAGACGCTAAGTCCTGGGTAACAGTGCACCCAGCACACATGCCCACAATCCCAAGCATCAGCCTTTTTTAGGGCATGAGAAATATTTAGTTCCCAGTTTTCAATTAAGCATTTTCAGGTTTTGAATCAAATGTTGACCCTCATAATCTATGCATTTCTATTCCCAGTAGAATTCGACTGTTCTCATCTGCTCTTTACAAAGTTGATTTTGAATAGGGAACATTTAAATGAAAAGAAGAAACTACCCTTTTTTTTGCATGGAACAATCTAAAATCTTACAGCAGCACTATTTTATCTAGTAGCTCAGAAATATAGGAAAGCAAAAAGAAATTGAAAAAAATTCTTCAAAAACAGCTTTGCCACTTTCATTCTACTCAGTTATATGCTTTAAATGAAATTATTCCAGGGTGTTAAATATCAAGCTAGGTTACGGGTTCGATCCCCAGTCCGCGCAAGTGGGTGTGTGGGTGGCAACTGCTTGATGTTCCTCTCTCACACCAGTGTTTCCCTCTCTGCCTTTTTATCTCTCTCCCTTCCTTTCTTTCTAAAATCAATATACGTATCCTTGGGTGAGGATAAAAAATAACCTCTCTCCTCTCTTTTTTGAGACATATATAATTTGTGAGTTCAGAACTGTGTGACTTGAGTACTGGTGTATTTGGTGAAAAAATTTCATTACCTTTCACTCACCCTTTTACAAAAAGCTCACTAAATCCATTTGTACCTTTAGGTAATTTCAGGCTGAATAACTGAATATCAACATTTCCCACGGTTTTGACAAAATCTCATGGTTTCATAAGAAGTTTCTTCTCTTTCTTTTTTTTTTAAATGTAAAAGTTTACACAGATTCACCATTGTCACAAAACATAAAAATCCAATAGCGGCCATTTGCTTTGGGTCACTCATTGTAACTGCGTATGAAATTTCTAATATCCTCACTGTTCTTCCTTGTTTCTAGGAGCATTCTTAATGATTTTCCCTCTTTAAACTCAGGATGCTCTAGTTCTAGCTGGGTATCATTGACTTCACCAAAAGGATCATCATTATGCTGAAAATTGAAGTTGCACCTTCCTACCCACAGAACGAGAGAGATGGTGGCCTGGCCCGAGTGACAGCAGGTGCCGTCAGCAGGTGCCCCAGTGACAGCACACACAGGTGAGTCTGATGACGGGGGGAGGCACAGCATGGCACTGTGCGCCGCATCCATTCATAACTTTGTGTTGCTGAAAGACCTTGGCCACCTGCAGGAGTATTTTTGTTTTCTTCTGCTTATAAAATGTACTCACCCTAAAGAGTAGAGACGGCACTGCTTGTTGCGGATTTGATGAGCTAAGCCAAACCTGTCATCAAGACAAACTGACCAGGGCTTCTTTGCAGGGCTGGCGTCGGGGGCCGGGCTGCCTGTGCTCATGTGATCACATGCAATCTGTAGGGAGAGGACATCCATGGAAACAACTTAAAGCATTGGGTGACAAATGGCAGGTAGGGACTTAACTGCTTCCCTGGTGCCTGAAAACCATAACAGGAGAGTTATGTCTTTCTGTGCTGCTAACCACACTCTTCCCCAGGGAAACACAGATGGCTGTAAAATGTGCAGAGGAATTCCAAGGACCAGATGATAAATAACCTCGTGGAGACTATAGGCAGGTTTGAATGGACATTAAGAGCGGCTATAGCCATCTGCATGAGGAGAGCAAAGCGAGGACACAGATGGCAGGGAAGAGGAAGGGGTCAGGAAAGGTTCTGCAGAAGTGTGTTAGTCCTGGAGGATGAACAGAAGCTGAGACCATGAAGGACAGACAGTGCAGACACGAAGACCAGTGCTCCAAAGCTGGAGGTCTGTCACCCTGTGTTTCTGCTGGAAGTTGTGAGAGGTCCAGGCGTGGGTCTTGGAAGGGTAAAAGATTGTAGATTCCTTATCTCAGGTAGATAAGGTGGATCCACCACCGTCCAGGGGTAGCAAGTGTTATCCAAGGTAACAGCTGATAAGGGGTCCTGTGAAATTAATCCACAGTCCCTGCTAAGAGGGCAGTATGCTTCGTGATGCACTCTTCTAATGTGTGTCTGCCCAGGGGGTGGGGGGAAAAGGGGAAGAAGGGCAAGGGCCCCAGCCTGAGGAGGCTCTCCCTGAACTAACACACCCCTCAACATTAGATAAGAAAAGCAAAGGGAACAAGCATCTAAGTCAAGTGGAAGCAAGTCTCTAATTTCAAATGCACATGAAGTAAACAATCTCTTCAAGGAGTTTATGACTTGTGTTTGAGGCTGACACTGTGTGAACAGCTGAGGCTGCTGGAACCAAAGAAAACAAGTCTAGGGCCAAGGTATTTACCTTGCTGAGCAAGTGGACTTCCCACTAACCCCTCAAAACTCTTGTGGTCATCACAAATCATGCAGCGGCTCTCACCGCCACATCACAGACAGGCCGTACAGATGGAAAAGGTGTTTTGAGGTTCACCACTTTAATTCATTGGAATACATAACAGCAAACCGTTTTCTTCTTAGGAAGTCAGTCTAGGCTTCCAACCCTTGTATTTAAATGATTTTCCAAAATTTTAATCTGAAAAGAGTTGTATGTGGCACCTGTTCAGCTAATACATCATCACCCTTATCCTTGTAATCTAGGGCTGGCCTGGAAAAATCACCCTAGCACTATTTATCAAGGACTATGACTGAGTCTTCTAGGATTTGGACATTTTAGAGGGAAGTGAAACCCTATAGCCCTGGTTGGTTGGCTGGTTTGTATACCAGTGGTTGCAGGTTTGATCCCTGGTCAGGGCACATATGTAGGCTCCAAGTTCAATCCCTGGCTGGGACGCACATGGGTGGCAACTGATTATCTATCTATCTATCTATCTATCTATCTATCTATCTATCTATCTATCTATCTATCTATCTTTAAAAGCAATAAGAAATGTGAAACCCTTTATATTTATATTCTTTTCTCTCAACCCAGTATCTCTGTCTATAACCACTGATTAAAGGTAAAAAAATAATAAATGGAATTGAGTCTTCTCCTAAGCAACCAGTACAGAATACATTTATTAATTGGGTATATCAACATATTCATTTGTATAATTCATTCCTATTATTATCCCACAGATAAATGGAAATTATTCTTCTGCCTGCCCACCTCCTAGTCTCTACCCACCCAGTGGAGAAGTTGCTAATCTAGTCAGTCAGAGCCTGTGTTTCTTTGGGCCTGTTTTTGCCAGTGGGAAAGTTAACATCAACACCTCCACTGGTCCTGTGTCCGTGCCCTCCATCCCACAGCAGTTCTGTGGGTCCCCAAAGCGTGCCTGGACCTCAGAGCTGAGCCATTTGCTCTGGGGCAGCTTCCTGGGGTATTTTCATTAAAGTGGCATGATGATGCTTATCTGCTAGCCTTCTAGTGTATACCTCTCTCTACAAATTGCCACAGCGACAGATTAGGATAGGGATGTTCATAGGTTCTGATTCATATTTCCCTTCTAACACCATTAAAGCCAAACACTGGTCTCCCCCACAGTGTTTCTCAAGGTGTGGTCCGCCTTCATTGGGGAGGTAATTAAGAATGCAGATTCCTGGGTGCCACTCCAGATCTGTAAAATCAGAATCTCTGAAGATGACACATGCATCTTAACAAGCTCCCCAAAAGTGACTCTTATGCCAGTGGTCCTGTGAGTTTACCGGAAGCCCTCTGTAAAGCCCCACTGAGATGCTCAGCCTGGCTTTCCCTGTGCTTTAGCAAATTAGAAGAAGAGACTACTCTTAGGCTAGAGACTGGAACTAAAACCAGCAGTGTCTCCAACCCCACTCCTAACCAAGCTGGAGCAGCAGTATCAACAAGTAGCCAGAGGCCTCTAAGAGTTGGGGAAGTACTAAGGGTCAAGATTCAGGGCTTTGGGGTTCAGCTGGTCCTCTTTTGCCAATGATGGGAGTAGAGTTTTATTCTATTAAAAAAAAACACTTTAAGCATTTATTCTTCCACAGACTTCATCTTGCACAGATATACCCCCATTGGAGGCATTCTTTTCTATTCAATCTTTCTGCTACTGTTCCCCTTTCCTCTCCTAGTTCAAAAATAAAGCAGTTTTTTCCATTTTAACCATTTACTAACCATCTCATTGATAGACATTAGATTTTGAAAATAACTAAGAGAACTTGGTAAAATTCAGCTCCTAAAATTAATTAAATACTGATTTTTCCAACTTCCTTGTTAAGATTTATGGCTAGGGCTTCTAAAACCCTACTGCAAGCAAAATAAGTGGAGGCGGTAACTCCAGGCTAAGCTTCAACTCCAGTAATTATAGTCCCTCTCTCTCTCTCATTCTCTCTCCTAATTCCCTGTGTAATTTTGGCCATATAAAATCAAATTAGGCCTAGACGAAGGAAAATAGACTCCAGGGGGAAAATGTTTTCTAAAATACTTTTTACTTCTTCAACTTAAAGGAATTGAATTTATTTTTATTTTACTTCATATTGCAAAAGCTTGCATCGCTGTTCTGCCAATCCAGAAGTAGTAGAAGCTGGCGAAGGGAGCCCTTAACATATGGAGACTTCTGGCAAGAATCATTTCACTGACCAACTGTGTGTTTACGTAATGCCATTATTCTCAAAGGTAGAATCTCGAGAGTTGTGCTTTTGCAGTTTTTATCCCAATTTGTGTGTGTGTGATAGTAAACATAATAAATACTACTGTTATGAAGTTCTAAAGTCTGTCTCTCCAGAACCTAAGCTCTTATGTTGTTCTGAAAATAGGTATATATATAGATGATTAGATAGATAGATAGATAGATAGATAGATAGATAAAGACATTTTATTTTTTTAAAACAACAACTGTTGCTTAGATTAATTTTGTACTGCAAGGCTTGCTTGCTGGGGGCATATGGTTTGGGGGCTGCCATAAAAAGCTAGATCTTTCCTTAGAACAGAGCACTGTGTTTATGATTTAACTGTTAGTTAACAGCAGCATGTGAGCGACTTTAAAACTCAGAGATGTAACCATGGTCTTTCACATTAGAAAACAATACCTAATTAAACGAGCTTGGTGTTCCTGTGTACACTCTACCCAAACACCGTGTCCTCTGATGTTTCATAAAAACAAAGGCAGGGTCCCCTGCCCTGATGGATGTGGCTCAGGGAGTGGGGTGTCATTCTGCAAAGCAAAGGGTCAGTGATTTGATTCCCCATCAGGATACATGCTTGGGTTGCAGGTTTGGTCCCTGGTGACAGCACATTCGAGAGGCAACCAATCAATGTTGTTCTTCCTCTCTCTCTCCCTCCCTTTCCCCCTCTCTAAAAATAAAGAAATAAAGCCCCTTTTAAAACTGCAGGGCCTCGGTCATGCCCTCAGAATCATCACAACGCACAAGTCTAGGAGCATCGTGCCCTGTGCTCTGTCCCTGAGCTCCCTACTCTGCTGGAGCACACACAATCCCTGCCAGCCTAGCTGCCTAGCGGTGGGCAGGGAGAGTTAGCTCAGGTTTGCTCTTCCAGCCCGTGTCCAGCACAGTGCCAGCCACAAAGCAGGAGCTCAACAAATGTCTACTGAATTGAAGAAAGAATAAGTCAATGGTGAACACATCACATGCTGGGCCTTGCTGTGTGCTTTTGAACACAGATTTGAGGAAGTAATTTTTTATTTTAAAATGCAGCAGAAGAGGATGGGGGTGGAATTTGCTTTAGTACCTTCAGAGGTTTAATTTCTTTTCCTTGCTCATCATGACTCACTTCTGCTAACTGAAAATTTTAGCTAATAGTAACTCTAATATTCTGCCAGTTTTATAAATTTTCATTTTCAAAATTAGTTCTAAATGAAGCATAGGCCCCCGAAGCAGCTCAAAAGCTCTGCATTACATAGAAAGGGAGGAGAGCACTGGGTAGTAAACGATTCTACTTAATAAAAAGTGAGCGTCATTCTGATGAGCTCCCGCCTGCTGGTCCCTGAGTGACCCGGAAGTACATGAAAGCATAGGACTTAACTGGGTAAAATGACCCCTGATTACAAAACCATTCTGCAGTCTGGAACTTTATCTCATTCTTTCTGGAGGACAATCAGCCTTGCCAGCTTCAGCAACCAAGTATCTATTATTGTACTCATCAAGCTGAATAATCATTTCGCGTCCATTTCTCCCTCTTTCCAACTTGTTAGCCCTCTGAGGCTGATATTATATCCCCAGGGCCAAAACAGTTCCTGGCACATAGTAGGTGCTCAAAAATAACAATCCTACACTGCTCTCAGCACAGTGCAAGGTCACAGAACTGAGAGGGGCCTCAGCAATAATTTAGTACTCTTCCTTTTTGAGATCAGAATAGTGAGAGACAGAAGTAAAATAAACTGCCCCGGGTCACACCATTGTAGCATGCTTTTCTTATATATAACTTTTCTTCTCCTAGTCCGTAAGTCATGGGGAAGATCTAAGAGGGCTTGAGATGACCTTGTCATGCCTCAGGAGCTTCTTCTAAGTAAACATGCCTTTTAGAAGTTACAGAACATTAACTTGCAACACATATTAGATGGAATGTAGGGACTTTCACTTGGTCCATTTATTTGGAGGTGTGGAGCCCACCATTCTTAAATTCAAGCCGTAAATTTAACATCTCATTTTCCTCAGGGGCCTTTAAGGGCTTCTTAAAGTCACAGGTAAGAGGTCCAGCTTCTTATTCTTCACATTAAACCAAACTGTAAAATTACAATTTCAGTACTTTAATTAAGTCTGTGTGAGTCCACCAAATTAATCTGTAGCAGCAAAATAAGATAAAAATTTATGGAAGCACAGAGACCAATTTGTCATCCCATTACTCATAATTAATTCAACGAGCTTTTACTTCCACGTCTAGGTGACAAATATTAAAATCCCTGATTGACTGCATCATATTAGAAATGGGACTTTCTTCTATCCCTAAATTAGCCTTTTAAAGATCTAGAAATATATTCTCTCCCACGGGTGAAAAATGGGCTTTGCTGCCAGTGCAATTTGGGAGGAAGAGTAGAGTGCCGAGAGCCAGTGGGATGAAGGGACATGGGAAGAACTGGGGTCCCCGGTGCCACCATCAGCCCTGCAGTGAAGTTCCCTGAGTCAGCCTAGGCCTCACGGGCAGCCTGAGTTGCTAATTTACTCGCACCTCTCAGTTCAGGCGGAGCTTCCCTCTGGCCTTCATTTCCTCTTCTGACTCTCTCCCCAAGACGAGGCTACTTGAGAGTGGAACCTCCTGATTAACGTGTCAAGAGTCATAGACTGTCCTTAATGGACAAGCTCTCTGCCTGCTCAGGGCACTGACTCAGCCTGCCGAGCTGGGGGTTGGGGGGGTGCTGCCACGATGTGTTAAGTCACTAACACAGGCCAGCGCTCGGTAATGACTTAAAGTGCCCTACAGAATAGAAAGTCTCTGGATTCATAGGCTTCTCTTTGCACTGCCTGCGAAGTCTCCTGTGCTCTCTGGCCTGGCACGTCACTGTCTGTGGCAGGAAAGCAAAAAGGCGACTCCTCCAGATACCAAAGGAAGCCAGAACATCCAGATGAAGGTTTTGACACACTTGACCGCCTACTCATGGGTGCAAATCTGCCTTTTCAGATGTTTTTCCAAAGCAATTTTCTAATGTGGATCATTAAAACATATCAGGACGAATCATTAAGACATTTCAGAATGGAAGGGAGAGGATACTGAAGCAAATGGAAGGCATCCTTATCTAATGCCTAAGCTCAAGCAGAAGGGCCTCAAAAACCATGTCCCTCTCAAGTCCTTATCATGTGCCCCCGAAAAACCCCCCATGCCCTCAGCGACAACCCCTTCTTTAAAAGGGGCAATCAGTATCTTTTGCATCGTCTCCAAACCCCTTTGTGCATGAAACCTGGGTGGTGCTGATATATCTCAGGAACCTCAAGGCTTCTTCATCCAGGGACTGAGCGGGGCCTGCCCAAGGCTGGAGGTCTATGTGCCACCGGGGACCCTGTGGGAGAGAAAACACAGGTTGGTGTGTAAGGGGTGAAGAGTTTGAGGGTGGGGTTGGCAAGACCTAGTGTATGAGACAGGCAGCAAGGCTGCCCCAGCCACCTGTAAAACAAACTCGTCTGGGGAATGGTTGCCCAGGAGCTGGTTCGAAGCTGCTGTCCTTAAGACCACATCAATCACAGGGAGATAAAGGAGGCTGAGAAAGCCCAGCTACCAGGGTAAGCAGGAGATTGCAAAGATTTCTCTGGGGACGTCTGACTCTCCTGATCAAAGGCAAACTCCATTGACCCCATTGGGCTCTCTGCCGCCGCAGCTTTGTACTACACGGTGCTGCTCCCCTACCAGAAGAAGCAGCCCCTTATCGACTGTGGTTTCAAAAGCTCAGTGCTTCAGAGATATGTGCCTCCCTGAGGGTGAGTTTTGTTCTCTCAGCACCATGATGCCTGAAATCCTAGGCACTTGGGCACCTTCCCCAGCACAGGGAGACAGATGGCCCTGCAGGAGGGCGCAGTGGCGCCACCCCGTGTCCCAGACCCCTTGGCCTCTGGGACCTCCCACATGTGGATGAATGTGGGAGCTGTCACCAGCAGGGCTGGCAAGGGTGGCCTTCCAGCACATGAGGCAGTCCCCACCTTTCATCAGAGGACTTGTGGAGCTCCTATGAGCACAGTGGCAGAAACAAGCCCTGAGACCCCTTTTGCAGTAAGAGTGGGGTGGTGGATGAAGGGCTGAGGGAAGGCAGTGGGCAAGAAACAAAAATGGGGATCCCTCCAGTCAACAGGAGGCAATAGTGATGAAGTCCCAGCTAGAGCTCCAAGTTCCCCATCCACGGTTATTACCACCTGGAAACTTCCCGGAGGCTCACTGGGATTCCAGGGGGTGAGTCCGGCTCACGGTGAAGGGCAGGAAAGGGCTGGGGGCCTGGAGAAGCTCGGCCACTGGCAGGGTGAAGGTCTGGTGTCAGGAAACACTTCAGGCGTCTCGGCACAGGGGTTCCTGCACAGTGCTTCGGATGATCCCCTAAACTCCCTGTCACGGTGAGAAAGGGAGCAGGGGAGGGTGCCGGGAACAAGATAAAGGGACCGTTCATGTGTGTTCATGTTCTTCAGTTAGGTATTGTCATGGGCTGAATGTCTGTGTCGCCTCCCCAAATTCATCTGTGAAATGTTAATGTCCAGTGTGATATTAGGATGCCGGGCCTCTGGGATGTCATTAGGTCTTGAGGGGAGCCCTCAGGAATGGGATCAGTGCTCTTACAAAACAGACCCTACAAAGCCCCCTCGCCCCTTCCACCGTGTGAGGACACACACAGAAGTAGGCAGTCTACAGCCCTGAACCGAACCATGCAGACACCCTCATCTGGGACTTCCAGCCTCCAGAACCGTGAGCGACAAATTTCTGCTGTGTGAAACCACTCAGACTGTGGTGCTTTGTTATGGCGGCCTGGACAGACGGAAACAAGTATTATGGCAGGAACTGTCTCTCATCCAAAAAAGAAACATCTAAACAGGTGAGCCCTGGGGTGCTTTAGGTGTTACACCTACGGTTTGGTGCTGCTAGACAGGGCGGCCTAGGTGGCCTGGGGTTAAACTGAAGGCAAGAAGTGGGGGAGCCAGCAGGTTAGTCAGCGTGAGGGCAGGCATGTCCTGGGGGAGAGGAGTGCACTCTGGACTGAGAGTCTGAGATAAATGCCCACTCTCCGTAAGTGATGAGGGGATGTCCAGGCCAGGCATTACTGACTCACCGCACAGAGTCCTGAGGGCCCACAGTGTCACCGTCCAGGCAGATCGTACTGCCTTGCAGAGGCTGAGCACCCCACAGTCCCTCCAGACTTAAAGAACCCTCACTGATTCCCCTGGGCTGCGGCTTTATTGGGAGGCCTTCAGGGGGGGCCAGTTTCAGGGGCTTGCAACCTGCTCCGTCTCTGGAAGGCCCATGCTCGGCTTCATGCTCTGCTGGCGCTGACTTGAAATTCTTCATTTTGAACAAGAGGCCCATTTCTATTTTGCATTGGGCCCCACAAATTACATACTCAGAGTGCCCTAAGGGGCACCTTTTCTGCAAAAACAGCCTTATAGCTATTCTTGTTCTGTGAAGGTTGAAACAGGCAGACATTCTATTCAGAGAGAGCCTGAGAACATTCACTCATATATCTTCCCAGTTAATGTATTCTAGCCCTCCCTGTATCTTTTCCTTTCTTGTGAATTTATTTTGGGGAGATGTAGGGGAGAGGTCAGGAAATTCCACTGCCCCCCACTTTTTTCCTTCTCTGAACTAGGTGTTGATTATCATTTCATCAAACAGTATTCACAGAGCGCCAGCCACCCTGCGCCAGGCCAGGCCGACGCAGACTGAGCACAGCCTGGATTCGCCCAGGAGGTGCACACAGTCCGGCCGGGCGGTGCCTACGCACCAAGTAACTTTGATAGGGAAATGCTGAAACTCTAGGGAGAACTGTTCTTTTCAGGAAACTATTTACTTATGGAATCACCAATGATAAGCACATTTAAATACAAACACCCCCTAGTTTTGCAGGGTCTCATTCTTTTGCATCAGATGACAAACAGTGACCTCCCAAGCTGCCTCGTGCCAGCCTGTCTAGGCCTGGAGGTTAAGGCTTCCTGTGGCTTTGTCGTGGGACCACTCACAGGTGCCCCAGCATCTGGCCCCAGAGACTCTTGATGAAAATGCTAAAGTTCACCTATCAGGGTTTTCCTCTAAATGAGGCCATACAGCTTCTGCTGCAACTCCTCACCTCCAGTTACAGCTCAAAAGCAGCCTTAGATGGAAAGTAAACAAGTGGTCATGGCTGTTTGCAATAAACTCCATTCACAACAGGCAGCAGGCTGGACTTGGGCCTCAAGACCATAGTTTGCTGACATCTGCTCCATTTAATTATAATTTGGAGGTAGACCGGCCTGGAAGAGACTGTTTATTTGAAATAAGGCAAAAGGGACAGATTATGATATCTAGATTATCATCAACTTTGGCATCTGGGTGACTCAGGCAAATACCAGTCAGGGTCGCAGTCAGATCAGTGGGCACCTTCCAACTGGCTGAGAGGAATTTAATCGACTATTTACAAAGGTGCAGACAGGTTTTAAGGAAACCAAGAAAGAACAATGTATTAATATTTGTGGCAGGCACCACCAAAAAGCCTTATAAGCCATAAGCCTGGAGGAACAAGAAGGGGGAGGGAGTTTTAGAACCTGACGGGAAAACTGTATGGAGAAGGCACACGATCGAGGAACACAGCCCATCCTATACACCCCATCCTATTACATAGCACCCCCACAACTGTCAAACCCAACAGGAAGGCAGAGGAGAGGGAGGCTGTGGTTGGTCGACATGGGTCAGCCTCCCAGGGTGCAGAGTGGGTCTCGAGGGGCCGATGGAAGTTCTCCTTCGCTGCATCCAATGGTGAATCAATTTGGTGGAACTATAGCGCTATCTCAGGGACCCATAAACAGTATCCTTCTTGCAATCTGCTATTTCTTATTTCCAGCTGAGCACTGGCCACTGCACTGCAGCTGGAACAATGAATAAGTTAAGAGACCTAAGGTGGAGATATCCGAAGTGCTTTGGCTTAGTATTTTGGTTGAGCTGTTTAAAAAACATTCCACATACAGTAATGTTCTTTTTGGAATCAGTCTGACAGTAATTTGTGATTATTTCCCTAAGGAAAATGCTAGCTTTTATCATCTCTTTCAATTACCATTTATCTTAGTTCTGTAGTACACACATCAATATTTGTTCTTTGAAAAAATCCCACAAACAGAATTCCCTGAGCACCTTAAAACACCAATGGCCAGTGTTTAATAGAACAAGGCAAAGTATATTTTTCTTTAAAAAATGTATCATTATGACTTTGATAGAGTACACAGTTGACAGACATGAGCAGAGCAGGAATGAATGACCAGGTCTAGAATGTCACCAGGGCAAAAAGTCCTTGGTGCCTAGCAACAGGCAAAGCTGGGAAAACAAGTATTATAGGCTAAGCCCTGACTCCCAGGGAGACCTCTCCTTTCCTAGCATGTTGCTAGGCCTGTGGTTCAGACCCCTGCCCTTTCACATCGGTAGTCTTCGGTTTAGAACCCCTAAGAGAAGGAACAAGGGGGCTGGAGAATAGCCTCAAAAGATGCCCAGTCAAGCTTTGCATGACCACTTCCATAAGATCTTCCCTCAGGACAGTGAGGTTCTGACAGGCATCAGGTAACCTTAGAAACAAAGCCTCAGGTCTGCTAACCATACAGATAGAGTTTTGGTTAAATTAGGAATAACATTGAGGCCTCAGCTGTGTTTTAGCTCCAGGCCCAGAAAAGGAGCAAAACCAGACAAGTGAGGACAGCTGACAAAGAGACCAGATGTAATGACTAATGTCCCCCTCCCCTAGCACTGAGCAATCAGTAGAGACCATGAACCTGAAAAGGCATACCTGGAAAGCTGATGAATATTCTACCAACTTCCTCTCTGAGACGTCCCCTAAAATTACTGCCTTGGAAACAATACAAAAACCCTTAAGGCTCCCTCTTCTTTCTCCTCCCCCAACCCCCCTCCCTGCAAGCCTTCCCCTTCCCCTCCCCCTTCCTCTTTCTCTCCCCACCCTCCGCCCTAGCATGCCAGCACCTTCCCCACCGCCTTCTTTTCTCAGGTACACTCTCTGGAGCACGCCCACCATTCCCCCACTTCTTCCCGCAGGCTGTTATCTTTGGTTTCCTTCTCCAAAGTTCCAAGAGCCCTTCTTCTGCCTCTGTAACTTGTTTCCTGAGTCCCTGCAGCCCATACGGCTTGGTTCTTCTACCTCTGTGACTCCCTAAATTAATTTCTTGGCTCTGAATTCTTTCTTAGCCAAATTCAAGGACTGAGGTCTAACACGCTAACTCTGGGGCTAACAATTTTACCCCAGACAATCTTCTAAACTCCAGGGTACACTGTTATCCATGTACTCCACATACGGAGTGGCCGAACGATGCTTCACCCATCACTGCTGGGACATAG